TTTATTGTAGAGATGAGGTCTCGCCAAGTTGCCCAGGTGGGTCTCGAACCCGCGGGCCCAGGCAATCCACTCACCTCAGTCTCCCATAGGTGCGGGATTACAGGCTGAGCCACCGAGCCCGGCTTTCTTTCTTTTTTTCCTTTCTTTTTTGAGTTGGAGTCTCACTCTGTCACCCAGGCTAGCGTGCAGTGGCACATTCACTGCCACCGCAGCCTCGACTTACTGGACTCGGGTGATCCTTTCGTTTCAGCCTTCCAAGTAGCTGGAACTACAGGCATGTGCCATCATACCCGCCTAATTTTTTATTATTATTATTTATTGTAGCAATGAGGTCTTGCCATGTTGCTCAGGCTGGTCTCGAACCCATGGGCGCAGGCAATCCTCTCACCTCCGCTTCCCAAAGTGCTGAGATTATAGGCATGAGCCACCGTACCCGGCCTGGAGACATTTTCGATGGCCATGGCTTGGAGTACTACTTGGCATCGAGTGAGTGGAGGCCAGGGACACGGTTCCACCTCCTACAGTGAGCACACAGGACACCCTACACATACAGTGTTCTGTCCCCAGTTGTCAGTTGGGTCGAGAAACTGAGAAATCACCTTTAAATCAGCTCTAGTAGTCAGGCGTGGTGGCTCATACCTATAATCCCAACACTTTAGTAGGCCTAGGTGGAAGGATCACTCAAGGCCAGGGGTTCAAGACCAGCTTGGGCAACATAGTAAGGCCCCATCTCTACAAAAGTTAAAAAAATCAGCCAGGCATGGTGGTGCCTGTAGTCCCAGCTACTTGGGAAGCTGAGGTAGGAGGATCACTCAAGCCCAGGAGGTCAAGGCTGCAGTGAGCTGCAATCATGCCACTGCACTCCAGCCCAGGCCACAGAGCAAGACCCTATCTCTAAAAAATGTATATATAGACAGATAGATAGATAGATACACATATATATGTATATATATATAGTGCTTTCACTGTATTTTGTGTCTCTGAGTCCCATTCCCTGGGTTGGGGCATTTGAGTGTATTTCTCACACAGCTGTCTCCCCAGAGAGGTTGTAAACAGTGCTTGTATCTCCCAGCAACAATGCGTGACAACATGCAGGGTGTACTGCTGACCAGGGAGGCGCCTCAGGTCTCGGTGTCCGGGCTGTTGAGCATCGGTTGTGTGGATAAGGTGACTCCCTGACTCCCTGTGTCGCAGACTTCAATCTCCAGTCACTCTGGAGGTCAACTAATACTGAGTGACCCCAGGCTTCACTACAAACTATTTTGCTGCTCTCTAGGGTGACTCAAGGCTGCCTAGGTAAATACAGACCCTCTTCTCAGACAAAACATTTTAGAGAATTAGAGGCCAACTCCCAGGATCAGGTTCAGGGCTAAACCTCGAATGTGCAGGGTGTGGACAACCCAGGCCTGCTGAGTTCTTTTTTTGTTTGTTTTTTGGATTTTTTGTTTGTTTGTTTGTTTTTGAGATGATGTCTTGCTTTGTGGCCCAGGCTTGGGTGCAGCGGCATGATCACAGCTCACTGCAACCTCGACATCCTGGGTTCAGGCAATCCTCCCGCTTTGGCCTCCCAAGTAGCTGGGACTATAAGCACCACCACACCTGGCCAATTTTTAAAATTTTTGTAGAGATGAGAATCTTACCATGTTGCCTAGGCTGACCTCCAACTCATGGGCTCGAGCAATCCTCCTGTCTCAGCCTCCCAGTGTTGGGATTACAGTTGTGAGCCACTGTGCCCCGCTGGAGTTGATTCTTTACTCATTAGCAAAGACTCAATAAGCAGAGTTGACTGTCACCATTTGACAGATGAGGAAACTAAGGTTCAGTGTTAGAACTTTCTTACCAGCAGAACTGGGAGTGAGAGCTGGTCTGGCTTCCTCTCCTTCAGGGCCCCCAAAGTCAGCCAGGTCAGCCAGCCATCTTCCCACAATCCACTTGGGCCCGTGGCTTAACTGCACATGCTGAGCCCACTAGGCTTCAGTTTTAGGGTCCAGCATCCATCCAAACTCCCTCTTCACACCTGTAGGCCATCAGTCTCCTGACCCTGAATTTACCTCTACAGCAGTTTCTGGGTCTTCCTCCATTTCCCTGGATCCCAGCAGGCTCCTTGGACCTGGCCCACTCCAGCACACGGCCATGTTCCCTTAGTCACTGCCTTCTGGTGTTCACAAAAGAATCAGAAGGCTTAGACCTTGACCTTCACCCTTGGGCTTTCTTTGTATTCTCTAAGCCTGACTTTGTCAACTTCAGCACGACTGACATATGAGGCTGGGTCATTCTTTGTGATGGGGGCTGTCCTGGGCATTGTAGGATGTTGAGGAGCATGCCTGTTCCCCACCCACTAGATGTCAACAGCACCCCCACCACTAAAATTGTGATAACCAAAAACACCTCTAGGCTAGGTGCAGTGGCTCATGCCTATCCTTCCAGCACTTTGGGAGGCGAAGACAAGAGGAGTGACTGAGCCCAAGGGTTTAAGACCAGCCTGGGCAGCCAGGCTCGGTGGCTCAGCCTGCAATCCCGCGCCTTTGGGAGGCTGAGGTGAGTGGATTGCCTGAGCCCGCGGGTTCGAGACCCGCCTGGGCAGCGAGACCTCATCTCTCCAATAAATCCAAAAATCAGCCGGGCGTGGTAGCGCATGCCTGTAATTCCAGCTACTTGGAAGGTTGAGGCGGAAGGATCGCCCAGCAGGTCGAGGCTGCGGTGGCCGGGAGCGGACACTGCACTCCAGTCTGGGTGACAGAGTGAGACTCCAACTCAAAAAAAAGAGACCAGGCTGGACAACGTGGCAAGACCTTGTCTCGACAATGAATAAAAAACTAGCCAGGTGTGGTGGTGCAAGCCTGTGCAATTCCAGTGACTTGGAAGGCTGAGGTGGAAGGATCACCTGAGTCCAGCAGGTCAAGGCTGTGGTGGCCATGAGCGTGCCACTGCACTCCAGCCTAGCCTGGGTGACAGAGTAACACAGACTCAAAAAAAGCAAAGCAAAGCAAAGAAAAAAATCCCAGCACTTTGGGAGGCCGAGGCAGGATTGCTTGAGGTCAGGAGTTTGAGACCAGCTTGGGAAACGGAGTGAAAACCCTGTTTCTAATTAAAAAAAAAAAAGTACGTTTCTGCCGGGCTCAGTGGCTCAGCCTGTAGTCCCATCACTTTGGGAGGCTGAGGCAAGTGCATTGCCTGAGCCCACAGGTTCGAGACCAGCCCAGGCAACTGGGCGAGATCTCATCTCTACAATAAATAAAAAATTAGCTGGATGTAGTAGTGCGTGCCTATAGTTCCGGCTACTTGGAAGGCTGAGACGGGATTGCCGGAGCTCAGCAGGTGGATGCTAGGGTAGCTGTGAGCGTGCCACTGAAATCTAGCCTGGGTGATGGAGACTTCAACTAAAAAAAAAAGTCTCTGGACACTAGACACTAGATACCGCAGTGTTCCCAGGGGGCAGAGTTGTATCCTCTCTTCCCATCCAACACATTTCATTGTTTTGGCCTCTGGGCCTTTGCATGTGCTGAACCTGAACACTCCACCCTGCGTTCCTGTCCGTGGTTCAGATTCAGCTTGGGCGTCCCTTCGTGAGAGACTCTCCCTGGCCCTCCCATTGCTTGAGGACCCCTGAGGTTGTCCCCAATGCCACTGCCCTGTTTGGTCTTCTGCATGGTACTCACCACCAGCAGATATGACTGCATGCTTACCGCTTGTTTCCCCCGTGAGAGTTGCGTTCCGTGAGCACCAGGGTCTCGTCTGGCAAAGTGGCAGCCCAGACTCAGTAGGTGCTCAGTAAGTCACGTCCATGGTATATCACGTCCACAGTGTGTCTACAACCGTCTGCCTGTTTGTCACTGCCGGCGGCTGCGTAGGCCTGAGCTTCCCAGCAAAGACACAGGCCTCTGCAGGGTGCGTTTCTGGCCTTCCTTGAGGGCCTGGTCTGCCTCTCGCGCTGGCTGAGGGTGGATGGGCCAGTTTAGAGTCCTCTGGGGAACCAGGTTGGGAAGAAAGTTTTCTGGTCCTGGCACATCCGGAGGGCAAGCCCCTGCACCCCTGGTAACTTTCATCAGGAGTTCTGTGTGGCCTGTCCTGCCCAGTTCTCCCAGCAACGGGGATGACGAAGGGAATTGTCGCTCAGACACCCACTCAGCTGGGAGCTGAGCCAGGCGTGGCTCTTGACGGTGTGTGCCAGGCTCACGCAGCTCATGGAACCGAGAGCTGGCCAGGGACCTGGGAGGTGCCAGCCAGCGGGCATTCAGCACTGGCCACCCACACAGCCCTAGGACCTGTGATCCTTTCCTGCAGATGAAGAAGAAAGGGCGCAGAGATGAAGCCCTTCCTATGACCGTTTCTATGACCGGGCTTGGGTTTTCTCAGTCCTCCTGGATTGCTGAGAGCTTGAGGTTAAGCAGGTAGTGAGCACCGCACTGCGCCTGGGTCGTGGAAGGGCCCTGAGATGCCGTAATCAATTACTATTACTTCACCTGCCAGTTTCACCCAGCAAGTGGCAGTCAGAAAGCAAACTCAGCTCAACCCCTAATGTCAAGGTCCCAACAAGTGTTCCTGAGTCCAAGTGTCTGGACCAGGGTTTCCTGACCTTGACACGCCGACACTGGGGCCAGGTCATTCTCTGTGGCGGGGCATCCTGTGCCAGGTACAGTGTTGGGCAGTGTCCCTGGCCTCCACCAGCCAGAAGCAAGTATCAGGCACACCCAAATCACAGCCACAAAAATATCCTCACTTCCCCAAAGCCACCTTGTCCTGAGGGAAGGAAGTTTCTGGCTAGGCACCGTGGCCCACGCCTGCAATCACTTTGGGAGGTCGAGGCGGGAGGATGGCTTGAGGCCAGGAGTTCAAGGCCAGCCTGGGTAAACGTAGGGAGACTTTGTCTTTACAAAAATGTCAGAAACTTTTCTGGGCATGGCCGTTGTTGTCTGTAGTCCCAGCTACTTGTGTGGCTGAGGTGGAAGGATCGCCGGAGCTCAGGAGGCCAAGGCTACAGTGAATGGTAGCCATACCTCTGCACTGCAGCCTGGGTGACAGAGACTAAAAAAAAAAAAGGAAGTTTCAGGTGCTAATATGCATACTGTCACCAATTATCTCAGCAAATTGGAACCTTCAGCCATTCATCAGTGAGGAAAATGAGCTTCCGTGAACTTAAAACAATTGGCTTAAGTTTTCTTGGCAAGAAATTGAGCTGAGTCCAACCCAAATATGATTCCAAAACTCAAAAGTTGATAGCTAAACTGGAATCTGTGCATATTAAAGAATTCTTGGCAACATTTTTGATGTGTGACGATGGTGTTGTGGTTAGGGATTTTTGGTTGTTTGCTTGTTTAGAAAGGGGTCTCTGTTGCCCAAGCTGGAGTGCAGTGATGAAATCATAGCTCACCACAGCCTCCAGCTTCTGGGCTCAAGCAACCCTCCTGCTTCAACCTCCTGAGTAGCTGGGACTGCAAGTGCACACCACTATGCTCGGCTAATCTTTTAATTTTTTGAGGAGATGGGGGTCTTGCTCTGTTGCCCAGGCTGGCCTAGAACTCCTGAGGTCAAGTGATCCTCCTCCCTCAGCCTCCCAAAACACTGGGATTACAGGCATGAAGTACTGCACTCAGCCTGTGATTAGACGTTTTTTCTTTTTTGTCTTTTAGAGACACATAATGAAATATTTATGGAATTTTAAGATGACTGGGGTCTGCCTCAAAATAATACCAGACAGGGACGTGAAGGGTTGGTGAGGGGTGGGGCTGAGGAGGGGTGCTGGTGGCCGGGCTGAGGGTGCATTCTACTATCCTGCCTCCTTTAATGACAGTTTGTAGAATACCCTCCAAGGTGTTCTCTCCGCAACTTCAACTAGGAGCCTGGAAGGAGTTGCCCAGGCTCAGTATGCGCAGGGAAGCAGCGCACCCTGGAGGCTATCTCATGAATGGGACCAAGCAGCTTGACTGCAGAGTGAGGGGCGGGGCTTACCAGGAAGCCAAAAGGTGGGGGGGGGACTCCCACCTGCTCCTCCCGGAGGAACAGAAAAAAAAAAAAAAAAAAGTCAGCAATCAAGAAAATTCATACCTTCGTCAGTTTTCAAATTATAGTCAAATACCAAAAGTCTGGGGACTCCAACCAGCAGGCAGCCGTAGCTACAGTCGGGGATGGGATGGCAGAATGTCTGCTCTGGTCACTGGGAGGACCTGAGGGAGGATCCGAGCCCCCTCTGGGTCCCCTGGAGGCAACTGCCTGGCCTTTGCGTCCCCACCTGCCCTAAGGGCACCAGCAGAACTCGCACTGTGCTGGGTTTGAAACCAGACCCCATGCCCTGGCTTAGCAGAGACCAGTCGCCTGGGGGCAGCCCATCTCCAGATCGACTGTGGCCTTGATCACGTTGATGTCACCACCAAAGACAGGACAGCTGTGCAGTGGGCAGGAGAAGGGCTTCATATGGACAGGTCTGTCTCCAAAACGAATCTTTAAAAAACGGTGTTGGCTGGACACAGTGGCTCACACCTATAATCCCAGCACTTTGGGAGGATGAGGTCAGAGAATTGCCTGAGCCCAGGAGTTCAAGACCAGCTGGGCGACATGGCGAGACCTCATCTCTACAATAAATCACATAAATCAAGAAAAATTAGCCAGGCGTGGTGGCACAGGCCTGTACTTCCAGCTCCTGGGAAGACTGAGGCAGAAGGATTGCCTGAGTCCCGCAGGTGGAGGCTGCGGTGGCTGTGAGGGTGCCACTGCACTCCAGCCTGGGCAACAGAGTGAGACTTGGACTCAAAAAAAAACCCCCCAAAAAACAAAAAACTGTGTTGATGCATAATAGATATGAATAGATTCAGGGTTTATGTGATAAGTTAGCACATTCAACTAATTTGTAAAGATCATATGTGTACTTGGGATTGCTACTGCCTTAAACAGTTGTCTTTTCTTTATGCTAAAAGCATCTGAATGACTGACTCTCTTCTCGCTATTTTGTAATGCACGACAGATTATTGTAAACTGTAGTTATCGTACTGATTTGTCTAACACTAAGTCTTATTTCTTCTGTATTTCTTCCCTCGTTCAATTTCCCTCCATTCCCTTCTGCCCCTACCCTCCCAGCCTCTGGTGACCACCCGTCTCCGTGGTTACGAGATCTACTTTTTTTAGCTTCCATACACGAGCG